AGAAGTTGTATAAGCCCAAAGTTGATGATAATTTTAATTATGATCTGGAATATCTACTTTGAATAAGAAAATGTTGAGAGGCTTTTGTAGCCTGTGAAGGAAAGTTACTCGTAGTCAGAGTATTCACTTTCATTATTTAGCCTAATGTGCCTCCAATTTAGTATTGAGAAGTATTAACAAGTGTGGATTTTTTTTCTACTTGAGGTGTGACCATAGTTATAGATATAAAGAAGTTCAATCCTTTACACCCTTCAGGCCTTGTTCTGATTATAATACCTGAAAGTTTTTAGTATGTTTTTAGCTGCTTCCGTAGAATATTCTGTGCTCTGAATGAAGCAAGAGCAAGTAAAAAATACTTGCAGCAAATGTTGTAGATCAGTACTTATGCCGGAAGGAACTTTAATTTTGACGCTGTTTATGTAATTTTAATTGATTGGTGCTTGATGATTGTTACATGTACACTTGAATTGCTGAGATAATTATTGCATGTGGTTTGTAATTGTTAAAAAGCAAACAGCAGTTCTTTAACCTTTGGGTGCTACAGACCAGACAATTAAAATTTTTTTTTTATCTCCTTTTATCTTGGGCAGTATGACTCCATTTTCAAGTTACGTTAACTCAGGAGGAAGATGATGAAAATATCTGAGAGATGCTGCTTAAAGTATTTTTATAATTTCCAAGAACTGTTCTTAAAAAGACTCATTTTATAGAAACTGCCTTTGAGTGAGGACGTTTGGTTTAACACAGACAAAAAGAGTGGAATAGTTTTGCAACATACCTGGGTAGAGCAGTGAGGAACCACAGCAGCATCTCTTCCATCACTTCTGAAACTTTCTGAACAAAGCACTCTGTGTTTTACCAGGCCTTTTTGTTGTGTGTGTGCTTACCTTTCCATGCTCCCTGGAAACTTAACTTCAGTCCTCCACTGTTTCTCCCCCCAACACTGTATCGTAGCACTCTCCATTAGTTAGAATTGGGAGAGGTAGCTTCCCTTTATAGGGGAGATTTATTCACAGGTAGTCTAACTATATGAAACTTAAGACACTCAGAATACTTAAGATCATGTTTTAGCTGTTTGTAGGGTGAATAGAGCAAACGTTTTATGTTGATACGTAGCAGAATGTTCACAATGTCTGCTGATGTTCAGTCTTAATATTTAGGAAGCTAGTTTGTTTAAGATTACTTTTTAACCCAGCTGAATATGGTCCCTTTAAAATACGAGCAGACTGCATTTCAAGGCTAGTTCCAGGGATATATATATCATAATATATCTAACTTATTAAATTACAGAGAATCAACGACAAAGGAGAAATCTCAGACTAAGAAGCCAGCGACAGTCGGACAGCTGTGTACTGAGTAGCGATGATGAAGATGAAACAAGAGATAATGATGTGTATGTGACGGATAAAGTGTCTCGAGAATTGGGACCACTGGAAGATGAAACTGCAAGTTCAAAGTATGTATGCCTTATGACCTGCCAAACATTGAATTTTGCTTTTCTTATACATACAGGACTAAGTTATATTATACCCTGGCTTATCTTTGAAGTCTTAACTTACTCTAGTTCTCTCTTTCAATGAGTACAACGTCACATTTCGCATGATAACCAAATAGTACCGTTTGCACTTTAGGATAAAAAGCCAGCCCAAGACAGATGTCAATTTTGCATACAGCCTCAAAGATGAGCGTGGGGGTATGGCAAGGAAGGAGGATTAGTCACAGGCCATAGCTCATAATGTATTACATTTATGTTTCATGCGAAGCTCTAGTAGCGATGTTAGATATGGTAATATTTTCATTGGTGTCCATGACACTTGGTATCATGAGACCGGTAGGCAGCAGCCTGGCAAATTCCAGTCAAAACTATTACTCATTCACTGCTTTTTTACACACTGTGCCACTTAATTTTTCTCTTGGAGCGGTAACCGTTCTTCCCAAGGTATACTTGCAAGGTGATTGTGGAGGTAATACTGTTGTGGCCAGTTCTTATTCTGTCTCATGTATGTCATGGAGCTCTGCTGTGCTGGCATGTGAGGTGGCAGTCTCACTGTTCGGGCCAGGTGCCTGCACAGTAGAGACCACATTCTGCAGAGAAACAGTAAACTCCTGCTGTAGGAGCGCTCCCTTATGTTAAGAAAGACGCAATGTATTAGACTAATTAAATCAGGTGTCCATGTGACTAGGGAAGATGAAGAACATGAGAATTGGGCATAAACCTTTTTAAAGTGTTTGGGGGGAGGAAAAAATACAGGTTTTAATAAAGCTGGTGTGCTTTGAGCCTTTGAGATTACTGGAAGGCAATGTAGGAGGGAACTTGGGTATGGAAATTTTGGGTGTCGGGTCTTAAATATGCCACTTAAAGGGCTTATTCTATTCTAAAACATAGTGTGTTTTGCCAATGGATTTGTACATTTTTAAATTTTGGTAGTTAAGTATGTAGGTGAGTAAATCCCACTAATTAGTTAGTATAAAAAGTTAATGTTTTGTTCCTTCAATCTCAAGCTTCTCTGTTAAAGAATGTGCCTTCCTGCTCTGTTTCTGTAAGGCTGAAACAACTCAGTGCTGCAGCGGTTAACGTTGACAAAAAGGTACTGATGCTGGAGATTGCCACAGAGCCGACTACGGTGTTAGTCTGTAGTGTTAGACTACTCTTGCTTATACGAAGGTTATCATCAATTGTAATTAATTACTGAGTTGGTGTTATAACTGCTGGATAAAGAATTTGAGTAGTAAAAATGGGAGAATTAATGGAGTTAAATTACGTATGTGAAACTAGGGGTAGACATTAGTAGTGCTCACTGCTTGAACTTAAGATTATGGGATAAAGGATATCTGATGCTTTCTATTCCTGTTTAATTAATCAATTACAAACTGTTCCTTAGCATGGGCAGTGACATAATAAAGCCAAGTGTTTATGGTAAAGACTTATGAAAGCAGTTTACTGTGATTGTTTAAAATAGAGATTGATTTGTAAATAGAAGTGGCAGGAAGCTCTTTCAGATAGAGAATATTATTCAGCACTTATGGTATGGCATGTTCCTTATGTAGAACAGCTATGTCTGTTAGTAAGTGTGCGTGCAATACGGCTGTCCTGGAGGCTGAAGGCAGGAGAGGTACATCTGTAACCACAGCTTGGTAACAGCCACTGAGTCGGCCTTTCCTTCTCTGAACTAGAAATTTATTTTTGAATGTTACCTCACGTTAGTGTGTTCCTGCCCTATGTTTTACAAGGAAGGAGCTCTTGATATGCATATGTTACTGGGCTGGGGTGTTGCTAAGTTAGAGTAGGGGATGTTTTAATTTCTGACAACTTCTTTCACTTCTTGAATGAATACTTTCTAAAGGACAGCTATCTGGTTTTTTTACAAAACTCTTATTTATGACCTGTTGATACTGCCATACGAATGCTGCACAGTGCTATAGACTGCTGTTACTTCTAATAATAGAGCAGGGTGGCTACCTGCATCTTCCCCCTAATGAAAACTGAGACGCCAGTTCCTTTAGGTAAGGGAGACCCTAACGACTTAGTAAATGCCACAGACTGAGAGAGCTGAAGGTATGCAGGGATCTTCAGATGAAATGCATCCTGGCTTGTCCGTGCAGTTGGATGATGATGTGATGCTTTATGTATCGGTAACCCTTCAATGCACAGTGAAATTAATGGATGCATGTTCTTTCTGGTTTTGTTCTCTCTCTCCCCCAAGGCCGTCTGGTACCGTTAGCTGTCCGATTTGCATGGATGGCTACTCAGAGGTAAGGATCCACGTGTTGTGATTGTTTCTTTTGTGTTGGAGGGAGAACGGGGCAGAGGGTGAGCTATGCAACTCTGTTGGGTTATGTGGGATGCCAGAGGCAGCTGGCTTAAAGTACGGACCTTGGATTTAAGGTGAAATTAGCATGTAAGTCAGTCATTTCTTAGTGATGTATGTAGAGGGAGAAACACTTTCCAAGATGGCACTGAAAGATCTTTGGTTCCTTGCTATTAAGGTAGTAATGTACTGACTGCAGATACTCCAAGTCCTGTTTGCCTGGTGCCAGTAGACCAGCAAAGTTGAATTCTTTACTCCAAATACCTGTTGTGGTTTCTTGTCTTCCAGATCGTGCAAAGTGGACGACTGATTGTGTCAACCAAATGCGGCCATGTCTTCTGTAGTCAGTGCCTCCGTGATTCCCTTAGGAATGCCAACTCTTGCCCGACCTGCAGGAAGAAACTCACTCACAGACAATATCATCCTATTTATATATGAGTACTTCTATTTCTCAGGACAGACTCAACTGGATTTTTGGGGAAAATGTCATGTTTTCAGTGCTCTGAAGATTTAAAGAGCAGCGGGTTGTGCCCACATCCAAATAAAACTCTTTTTTTGGAGAATAACTTGTACATATATAGACAGCTTTTTTTTATGGTCCAAGCTGCTTCTTGTTACGTCCCTGGTTATAATGTTAAATTTATGACTGTCTCTAAACTAGACCAGCAGCCTGTATCAGAAAGGAAGCAGCTAACCCATTTCCTTTTACCTTTTTAATGCTTAAGAGGGGTCTGAATATTTTGTTATTTCTTACTCTTTAAATTATTCCCACCATCGCATACAGATATGGAATAGTTACTTTTCAAAATACAGGTGAACAATTTGCTATTTCATTACACTTTTGTTTTTATCCTATAAGAAGCTCATGACTATATTGCTTTCTGCTATACCATCTTTGCCCAAGTAGAGTAAGTTCTGTAATGATGGATTGTTTTATCGTAAATCAATATTAAATTGACAACCAGGGTCATGCAATAAAATAACCTGCTGTTAACCAGCAATCAGGTTTTTTAAGCAGAAGGCTTGAACATGTAGATGTCTTTATGAACTCCGTGAGATCTAAAGTACGTAGACAAATTGCAACATGTACAATGTGAAAATACTCCTTTGAATGTTTTAACTGCCAAGAATTCCTGTATTTGAATTGCAACACTGAATTTATTTTCTGATGGGATGAGATGGTCTCTGGGGTTTACTACTGTTCTATAGCGCTCTCTCCTGATAAGTAAGGAGAATATAGTCTTCTCTAGGCTTGCTAGTGATGAATAAGAAGTAAATTGTATGCTTTTCTCTTGTCAGCTGAATACCAAACTACCTACAGATCATCTTACTGTATCAAGGGTACCCAGTGTAATGCTTAAAGTTCAGTATGTTCCCTTTGCTGTTCTCTTCAGTTGTTATGCTGACACCTGACTGGTTTTAGCCTGGTGCATAGGATTAAAAATTAAATAATTGTATTGCTGTGGATTTAGGAAGTGGAGGCTTCAAAAGGTAGCAATCTTGCCAAGGTAGCAATCTTGACTTGGCAGCTTTTTGGAGAGAAGTTTAATCTCCCTTTGCCCTGAGGGTTGTCCAGCTTTATTTAAATGTGCGTTTTTGAAAAAGAAGAGAAGTCAGATACATGTCCTCAGAGGGAGAATTCCTCTATGGAAGCAAGGCAGGAATACACAGGTTTATCCACTGTTATCAAGTCACTTCTGGGTTTGTTTGGGTTTTTTTTCCAGGACTGTTATAAATGTTGGCTTTAAACCTGCTACAGCTAAAATCTGCAAGCTGATGTGGAATCCCAGATGAGCTGATACAAACAGGATTGTAGTAATTAGATAAGATGATTAAAATCAGTATTTTATGATTCATGTATGCAGTAGCTGCATCTATGAAGGTTGAAATTTGGTCTGTAAAAAAAAAAAAGTCCAAAATTAAACTCAGAAACTCAGATGCCTTTTGGCAGTTGGTTGATTATGATAAACCAATAGAAGCACCATTCTGTGCTCTGGTGCAGCAAAATTGTAGGATGCGTTTAGTTAATGTTGGTATCTGATGTGTCCCTGCTAACCTGTCCTAGGGATCTGTAGGAAGCCTTTAATTAAAGCAGCTCTTCTAATTAGCTGTCTCAAGTTCTTTAGGGAAGACTGCAACACAAAAGTAAAGGTTGTGTTTTTTTTTTTAATTAGGATGTTTAGGGACGTTTCTGGCTGTAGTAATACAGACAGAGTTTTGTTCCATAAAGGCCTGCTGAAGAAATGCAATACCTTCCCTACCCTGGTTTTGAATAGCTTTGATGCAGCCCGGTTGTCAGGAATATGCAGTTTCTGCAGTGTGGCAATATGTTAAGTACTAAAAAGTTACACATGTTTAGTTACTGTGTGCTCCCATTGGCAATACAAACTACAAGTGAGGACTACAGCAGTCTTAGGATAGCGCAGTGACAACAACGGCTGGAATTTGGGTCTGAAAAACCATAGAAACGATGAAACAGTACTAAAGATTGCTTAAAGCATTAATTGCATGAAGAGCAGCAGCCCAACATTAAAACTGTCAAGATATTTAAGGGCCACAGAAACAGCTTTCTCCCGATAGCTTAAAAAATCAGCAATTATGGCCAGTTTTCCTTGGGTGGCTACTGTACGAGAGGGAGGACAAGGAGAGGATTGAAGGGATTACCTCGGGGGATGAGGGCGAGTCACGTATCGGTGCAGCTTTCACCGTGTACTAGCCATAGCCTAAAATGACTTTGCACAACTCCCTCCATGTAAATACCACTTTATAGTTTGTGTCTCAATATAGATCTAATTGAAATTTAGGTACCACAAACTATAAAATATTTAACAAAGAACTTTTTAGCTTTTGTGAACCCTGTGAAGTACCACAGATTTTGTGCAGCTCAAACTGAATTTTACGTCTCGGTACATAGAAAAATACTGAATTGCGTTACACACTTTTTTAGGAAAAAAGAAAAAGGAAACCCCAATATATTTGAGTTCCAGTGATGTTTCCCATTGGCAAGAGTGATAGATAATATAAAGATTTTTTCATTATGTAAATGTATGTCTTGTTGTATATAGTTGGATTTTTCCTGTATTTAATTGTATTCATGTCTGTCTGTCCCATCTATGTTGGACTCTGCTGGTAGGCAAACAGTTCTTTTAACAAGTGGAAATAAAACCATCGATTTAATCAATCGGAAGCGCTCGTGCTTTTAATTGCCCTGTATTAATTGACTTGGAGGGGAAAAAAGTCCTAAATCCCCAAACCTTTCAGTTCTTTTGCCTAAATCCCCAAACCTTTTAGTTCTTTCGGCCCGTGTGGGTTGGGGGGGGGGGGAGGGGGGAAGGCGTTGCTC